GATGGGTATGCTTAGGTAAGTAGAAGGGAATAGTAATGGAAGAATTAGGGGAGCTTTTAATGCATTATTTGTATAATAAAAAGTGCAATGAACAATGCTTAAACCCTTCATTTCAAATTACTTACACGCAGCAACTTCTAAACTAAATTTGCTATAAAATAATCATTTCGGGAAAAAGCAAAATACTTGTTTTTGATTTAGTGAGAATTCTGGACCTAGTTACTTTGCCATAGAAAACTCCCTCCTCAGGGCTTCTCCAGCAGGGCTGAGAGTGCACGTTGCACTCATGTCTTGAGCAGGTGTTTAGGAATTCTCCTATCTTCCAAGTTGACTGGGGCTGCTCCAGGCTTGCAGCAGATCTTATTCACCTTTGCATCGAGAGCCCTTTAAAAATACCTTATTTCATAGGAAGTGTTCGATAGAAGTTCGAGAATTAATTAAATGTATTTCATATGAAAATCAAAAAGAATTATTTCAAACTTTCCATAGCATCTGCAGAGATCTTTAAGAGTACACCTTTCTCAAATCAGCCAGAACTTGCTTTCGCTTCATTCTACTGCCTAGCAGTTGCCCAACCCTTTAAATCTACAGATCCTTATTTTACATCAAAGCTCTCAGTATTTTAGCTCCTGTCAAAACTTTATGGAAACATGGCAAATAAGCAAATGCTGTCCTGAGGTTCAGAGAGTCCAGATTTAGAGCGCTTTCGGCAGGTAAGAATCGTTCCCTTCACCCAAGTCACCGAAGTTCCCAAGGGCAGACACAGTGTACACCACCTGACCTTGGCCTCGCTGGAGATTCCATTTCTCCTTGGATGTCACCTCTAGAACTCAGTGTTGTTTTGATCCATTGTACTCATAGGGCTCCTGTCACTTCTGATTATGGATGAGCATCCTCAGACACTTGATCTAACTGAGCAGCCACCTGGCTCCACTTTCTTGGTTCTTGGGACAACCTTGCTCTGATAAGGTTGTTCATTCCCACGGAGACCTGAGTACAGTCTTGGTCCCCAAGAACCAGAATTCCTTTCTCTGATCTGATGATCCTAATGAAATCCTCACATTGCCCGGCAGGAGTGCTGAGACCATTCCGACCACGGATGCAGGCCATTTCACTCCGGTATCTCCTGTAGCTCGGAGCTACAGTTGGCACACATTTCCAGGAGAAATCATGAAAAATGGTGACGGCAGCACAGATGCATCCATTATGGATCTTGTAATGCTTATTTGCATTAATGAGATACAGCCAGTCAACCACACCACCCTACACGGTGCAGAAGCTAACAGAAGGGAGCCCAAGTGGTACAGTTGCTAAAATCTGTGATGAGAGATTCAACTTACAAAGGCAGTGAATTCTGAGACCACAGATTCTTTGCAGACAAAGACCATAACATGTTTCTAACATTTGATATTAATAGCTAAAGAAACCTAAACTCTTGATTAATTTTCATATTATTTTGATCCTGCATTCAAAGCCTTGGGTGGGCTAGCCCTGCCCGACATACCTCACTCACTGCTGTCCTTCACCTGGCACCCACCCTAGGGTCAGGCTAGTGTGCGCACTGTCCCATAACCACACCACGCACATCTTTCTCGGCCTGCATCCCATGGCTGCCCTCCTTTGAAACGGTCGACCTTCTTCCGGTCTCTCTATGAAGGACTAGTTTTAAGTCTCACTACATCTATGAATTCATCTATTCCCTGATGCCGTCATCTTTTTTTTGCCTTTCACTCTTCGAAGTTCCTATAACAATTATACGCTATACTTTTAAATTTAGCTCTTAGCACCTTACATTAGCATTGTCTCCCCAATCAGACTGCAAGCTCCGAGAAGATAGTCCCATTGTACACAGCACATGCTGAACACGTTAGAATTCAATACCAGTCCACGCGTCACTCAAACTGTCTTAGAGCTGGAAGGGACCTTGGATTGATCACTTAGCCCTATCCTTCCTTTTGTGTCTGAGGAATCTGAAGCCCATGATTTACTCGCTGATCTATTGGAAAATAAATGATCATTATCCATTAACTAATTTGCATTTACTGCCGCAACCAAGTTGTAGTTTCTACCAGGATTTAGTCAGAATGGGTTGCAAAGGATAGCAGGTAAGGCAAACACTTAAAGGAACATTCTGTTATTGAAACACAGAAACCAACCTACCTGCAGCTCCAGCTGAGCAGGCAGCATTAGAGGAGAGAAAAATAGTTACATTACCAATTGGCTTGGAAGACTTCCTTTCAGTTGGTCATTACCAACCTGGACAGAAAAGATGAAAAAAATACATAGCCCTACCTTTTAGAGTGTGTGAGGGGGGGAAAATAGCTCAACTAAAACTGACCTTTAAGAAGCCACATGTACGTGCCTTTCTCTGATATGAGGAACCTTGTACGAAAACCGGCAACCCTCTCACTCAAGAACACAAGTACAATCATAGCTAGATTATGCTTGTATGTCCATATCTTCACTACACGGGTGGGCTTGAGGTTTTTACGTCAAAAAATAATTAAATCTAGTAAGCATGTCTCTGGACATAGTGAAAAATCAGAATGGCCAAAGCAGAAAAGACAATAATTGGGCAAGAGCATGAAATGCAGACGGGGCAGTAACGTGGAATGATGGATGGGAAGTTATTGGTTCGCAGCCGTTTGCCTTTCCGGTCTCTAGTTCTGTGTGTTTACATACACTTTTGAAATAACATACATGGAGCCACACGTGTTATATGTTTCCATTGCAGGACCCTCACAAAGGTCACTTAGCCTCCGTGGGCTCAGAGCCCTTCAATGCTACCACGTAGCTATTAATGTCTAAACGCATTTGCATAAGACATGGACTAGACTATTTTTCAAGGTCCCTTCTAGCATAAAGGCATATAAGAAGACCAAAAGAAATATAAGCTGCACCTATGCAAGTGAGAAAACCAACAGAAACATTAGCTAAAACCATGAGCCATCTAGAAATTGGAAAGTTATACTAGAAAGAGCCCAATCGTCCACACATAAAGTACTAATAAAAGTCTTTACACATCCTGCTCAAAAACAGGGGTTTAAGACACTGTTTTCTGAATGCAAACTGTCAACACAGGCACTTACTCCACAAAACCACATTGCTCTCCACACGCACCCCTGCAGCTCCTAACTCAGACTCAAAGGCTATCTGCAGAGTAAGAATAAGACGCGTCCGCCTGGAAGCCAGGGAGGCCCTACAGCCCTGTGGCCTTGAGTCAAGATGCAGAGCACTAAGGTGAGACGCTGACTTGCTCCCGGACCTACAGCTTAACTTCGAGCTTTCCCAGGGGGTGTGGGTCGTACCTGCCACATCAGCTTAGAATGGATGGGAAGTTATTGGTTCGCAGCCGTTTGCCTTTCCGGTCTCTAGTTCTGTGTGTTTACATACACTTTTGAAATAACATACATGGAGCCACACGTGTTATATGTTTCCATTGCAGGACCCTCACAAAGGTCACTTAGCCTCCGTGGGCTCAGAGCCCTTCAATGCTACCACGTAGCTATTAATGTCTAAACGCATTTGCATAAGACATGGACTAGACTATTTTTCAAGGTCCCTTCTAGCATAAAGGCATATAAGAAGACCAAAAGAAATATAAGCTGCACCTATGCAAGTGAGAAAACCAACAGAAACATTAGCTAAAACCATGAGCCATCTAGAAATTGGAAAGTTATACTAGAAAGAGCCCAATCGTCCACACATAAAGTACTAATAAAAGTCTTTACACATCCTGCTCAAAAACAGGGGTTTAAGACACTGTTTTCTGAATGCAAACTGTCAACACAGGCACTTACTCCACAAAACCACATTGCTCTCCACACGCACCCCTGCAGCTCCTAACTCGGACTCAAAGGCTATCTGCAGAGTAAGAATAAGACGCGTCCGCCTGGAAGCCAGGGAGGCCCTACAGCCCTGTGGCCTCGAGTCAAGATGCAGGGCACATGGCTGACTTGCTCCCAGACCTACAGCTTAACTTCGAGCTTTCCCAGGGGGCGTGGGTCGTACCTGCCACATCAGCTTGGACACAGTCCCTTTGCATTGATGGCTAATGACACTTGCCAGTCTCCCCTTGAAAACTGCAGCTAACCAAACGAAGGTGCCCCAGAGTAACTTGAGAGCTATGATTAGACACAGATGAGCCTGGCTGAAATGTACGTAGCTATTATAATGAAATGT